CGGCGCCGGCTGGGAGCTCGCGGGCCGCAGGGGGCCTGGGCGGCGCCCGGCCAGGCCGGGGTTGGGGGGAGTGCGCTCTCCGAGTTTGCATCTACAGAGGGGCCAGACACCCCAAGTTTTGTTGATGCGGGTGGAGGATGGGTGGCAGGGTGGTAAATGGGGCTGGGAAGCGTGCTTAGTTCCTGGCTGGACCCCTTCCGATGAAGGAGTAAACCCTGGCAGTTGGTGCAGCCTTCTGCACCTAGGGTACCTCTGCGCCCACCAGGCTGTAGGGTTTTCGTTAGTGACCCTGCTTCCATGAAGTCCCTAAGTCCTTGGTCAATGGGGTTTCATGATTTGAAAAACCAAACACTTCTGAAAACTAAGAATGGCCATCGAAGCCCAAATGGGAAGTTGACTCAGGGGAACAGTGTCTGGGTCATACACATACATTGCTTTTTCTCACATTGCCCGGGTGTGCTAGTTGACAGCCGGAAATCTCGCAGTATTGGCACAACCCTTACTTTATTTCTCCAAAGTAGTCAGCAAAGACTCAAGGTAGTGACCCTTCTTACAACGTTCTTACCAAGCAGGAGCTGCGTAAGCTGTGTTAGGCACGAGTCTGTTAAAAATCCAATAAAATTAGAGCCATAGAGGTATTTCTGGTGTACTTGCTTCAAATACGTACAGTGTTTTGACTAGAAGAGTGAAAGGAAGTAACAATCTCTTGGCTAAAAGCAGAGTTTTATTCATACACTTTAAAACATCCTGTGTATGATTTTACGTTTAATACTTAAATAACTTCAAGTTTCCCTCCTGCCTGTCACAGTAAATCCAAATGTTCTAAAATATTGTATGCCTCTAGCCTTAGAGGAGTGATAGGTGTTAGGCTAAACTATTCATTTTAGCTATGGTTGCAAAGCAAAAGACTAAGAACACAATATCCCATGAAAAAGGAGCTGGTTGAATGTAGTTTAATCCACGCTATGGAATACTATGCAACTGTAAAAAGTGAATGAGAGGAAATTGTATGCTCCTCTGGAGAATCTCTATCATAGATAGTTTTTAAAAAAGCAAGGTTCTGACAGAACAGGCAGTTCATTGAGACAACAAGTAAAATAAAGGCTACCTGGGCTAAGGAAAAAAGAATAGTTACTGTTTCAGGGTTCAGAGTTTTCTGTTTAGAATGATGGAACAAGTCGTAGGAATACATCAGAGTGACTTTGCACAATACTGTAAACGTACTTAATACTACAAACCTGTGCACCTAAAATTAATATAGTAAATTTTATGTATATTTTCTCAATATTTTTAAAATGCAAGATGCAGAGTTTGAAACATTGTATGCTTCCTTTTGGGTTTGTGTGTGTGTGTGTGTGTGTGTGTGTGTGTGTGTGTGTTTTCAATTTTTTAAAGTAGAAGTCTAAAGAAAATCTATTAAAATGATTAATCTGTAGGAGAAAGAGAGAATGTGGCAGAAGAGACCAAGATGAAAGGTGGACTTTTCAAAATATGCCTGGTTTTATAGTTGTAACTCTGAAATTAGGTGGATACTTTATACATTAAAAATAAGATTAAATTTTAGTAGAGCAGTGTTAACACTGAAAACACGTAAGTGAATCTGCCACATAGCACAGCTGAGCAATTACTGACAAGCTGGACAACTACTTAAAATGTTAAACAATGTTTGAACCATACCTATCTACCTAGGGAGATATGATTTAAACATGGAATAAGCACAAATCTGAATTGTGTCCAGTCACAGTAATGTGCAAGACAACAAAGAAGGCAAATATAAAAACTATGTTAATGTCATTAGAATGGTTTCGGCATAAAAGACTGCATATAAACCAGAAGTAAAAATTTTTACAAATTAAATTAAAATGACAGTATGAAATCCTGGGTTTTTTTTTTTTTTTTTTTAAGTGCATCTCCTACTTCTATGAACTACAAAGACTTAGAAGTACTGACAACTCAGCAGTGATAAAACACCCATTGAGATGAGATTGTGGCTTCTAAATACCATTTGCTGACAAAAGCAATTAGGACTCCTTGGATGAGTGGCTAATTCTGAGTCTTGAGCAGGACATACTTAAGGTGAGTCTGGGCTGTCTTGTTGGGCCTGAAAGTAAGGAAGTTATCAGACTGTTAGGGCTATGTCACAAGGAATCAGAGCTAGCTTAAAAGAGATCTCTTGGTTGAATGATGAGGAAATTTGGGATCAAAAGGAGAATAGAGTGTAAAGATTGAAGTATTCCTATAAATATCCACAATTCAAATGATACTCAAGCAATTGGTCACTTTTGGAGGCATGGCCCATTATCTTAAAGACACTGATAAATGAAAGGACCAAACAAATATTCTGAGTTTACTGGAAAGACTCAGAAAACATACTTCTTTTGAAAAAAAAAAATTGATTGTAAGTTAGAAAACAAAGTTACATGACCCCTCCAGAAATTATGGACCCAGGTAGCAGTTACCAATGGCAATAATGACTGCTAAAACCATTAGCTCACAGGTCCCCAACTGGTGGCTATTTTCTCCCTGATGGACATTTGCCTATGTCTACATACTTTTACTTCTACAACAAGATAGCGTAGAGTGGATGGTGAGAGTTTCAGGATTCTGCTAAACATCCTGCAATGCAGTGTGGCCTCCTTCCCGCAAGAAGCACACCCTTTGTCAATTTCAGTATCAGTTCCAAAATAGCAATTTTTGACAAGCCTTGCACTGTGCGAAAAGCACTGAAGGAACTTTTAAGTGAACGGTTCAGATTGTTACCCCCAAACTACCGAGTAATTATTAACTTTTGAAAATTGACACAATCAGACATTACATTTCTAGGAGGGAGAGAGAAACACCTACCTTTTATTAAAAACATTGAAGCCAAATATCATATCTCTGTATTTAATTCCTGGTTCCAGGAACTAGGGGGGGTCATGATACTTCAAGAATATTGTCATCCATATATGCATCTATAACATGCATATGTAAATAATATTTGTGTTATACACATGCACACCACAAGACATTTCTTCAAATAAATGACAGGAGTAGAACAAAGGGAGGAGAACTGTTTTGGTCCAAGAAGAAAACTCTGTGTATCTTATCTGGGATTTTTATGTGAACGTAACAAATCTAAAATGACATGTTTATGGAATCACAAAGAAATTGAAGGATTATTATTAGGTATTAAATATTTTAAATTTAGGGTGACAGTATCATGGTTATATTTTTAAATAGTATACTTACTATTATACAAACTGAAATCTTTATGGATAAAATATGACATCTGGAATTTGATTTCACATTCTGAAAGATAAAAAGCCTGAGTTCTGAAAAGATAGCTTATATGTACTTTTCTTTATTCTCCTTGCTCAATAGACTCACTCCCTGCCCTGGGGCGAGGAGAGACAATGTGCATGAGGGGCTCTAACTGATGGCAAGAAGAAGTGACCAGGACTTGAAGAATGGCAGGGAAGTGATTGCCTTCCAGCCAGATGCTAGAGAAGTGGGTATCCTGAAAATGCCAACATACAGAGACCAAAAAAGCTCCCAAGAAAAACCTACTGTCTATAGCAAAGGAACAAGAAAGGGATAGTCAAGACAGGAGCCTTGCAGATAACTGCTTCACAACCCATCAAGCATCACAAACAAACAAAACAAACACAACACCTCTGGTCACCCCCACTCACAAAGGGCTACTGGGAAGCTAGACTTTGAGTGACTCTTTACTATCACAAGATGCCCTCACCTTCCTCCTGATACAGTCAACAGGGCCAGCTGGGTAGCTCAGGCTTTCATTTCCCTATGCAACAATGAACCACCTTTCCTGAAAATGCTAGTGAATACCTAGGCTTCTGCCTCACTTTAGTCATGGTTCTCCAGCAAAACAGAATCAATAAAATGTGTGTGCTCATACATGCGTACACACACATACACACTGTCTTTGTTACTTTTTTCTTGTTGCTGAGACAAAATAACTGATGCCCAAAACTAAGGAAGGAAAGATTTATTGAGCTTACAGTTTGTGGAGGTTTCAGTCCATACTCGGCCGGCTCCAAGGCAGGGTGGTACACGGCAGAGGGCAACAGTTCATAGCGGCGCCAGTAGCCAAAGCAGCAAGAGCAAACGGGAAGGAGTAGGGGAAGCATCCTCTTTTTTTCCTTTACATATACAAACTATCCACCCCAGGGTGGGTGTAGCACTCACACCCATGAATCAATCATAAACTCCAAAAGCCTGCCCCATGACTGCATGTGTCTTTGGGGGGACACCCAGACACAAACCATAACACGCACACACACACACACACACACACACACACACAGATTTACTAAAGGAGTTGCTTACACGATCATAGAGGCTGAAAATTCCCACTAGACTGTCCAAAAGCTGGAGAGGCATAGAAATCAGTAGAACGGCTTAGTTCAAGAAGTCCAAAGGCTCAGAACCGGGGAGGCTGACAGTGCAGCCCTGCCTGAGGTTGAAGGCCTGGGAGCCCCAGAGAGCCATTGTTGCAAGTCCGAGGTTACAAAGGCTGAAGAACTGGAGTCTGGTGTCCAAGACTCCAGTTCCAGAGGAAGAAACACAAAGCAAGCTTCTTATTTCTCCTGTGTCTTCTTTTCAGGACCCCAGTCAATAAGATGGTACTTGCCCACATTGAAAGTGGATCTTTAAAACTCAATCCACTGACTCACTTACCAGTTTGTTTGGAAACACCTTCACAGACACACCAAGAAGTAATGCTTTACAAAGTTTCTCCAGGCATCCCTCAGTGCAGTCAAGCTGACAATGCAAAGTCACCATCACACATCGCAACCTAGCAGTAATGAGATGCCCTTGTTTGCAAGGATGGTGTCAGATGAGAACTAATAGAGGATCAGAAATTTCACCACTGTCCAGCAGCAATGAAGCTTCCCCCGTGGCATCGTAATAAGACCAAAAAAGCGTAGTGAGGCTCCCCTGTCTCATTTCAGGGAAGCTACCCTAGCCCAGTTCACAAAAGCTTGAGAAAGGAGCTATGCTCTTACTGCTGCTCTGCAGCAACAAGATGCTCCCCACAGGTGTCAGCCGTGGCTGGCTGTGGAACTCAGACTTCCACCACCATGTCACAGTAGTGAGGCAGTTCCCTGGCTGCTCCGCATCGGTACATTGTCAGAGGAGGTTGTTGAACAGGTGGTTCAGTAAAATCTAAGCCTCATAACAGGAAGCCCACAATGTCCACATCTTAACCATGCCTCTACCAGGAAAATCTGAACTTGAGTGAGAAAACAAATATATAGCAACACCAAGATGAGAATTGTCTGAATTATTTAAACAGTCATAAGATCCTTATGTAGCACTTATGAACAACATTGAAACAAATTTTTAAAAAATAGGATCAGCAAAGAAATAGAAGATACAAGGAAGAACAAAATGAAAATTTCAGAACTAAAGAACACAGTGTCAGAATAAAGAAGCATTAGTGGATGAGATTAAAAGCAAAATGAAGAGAAAAAGGAAAAATCTTTTGTGCTTGAAGGTGGAAGAACAGAAACTCTGAACTGAAAAATCAGAGAAAACACACAGCAAAATCAAAATAAGGCTAAGAGATCTGGGAAGATTATAAAGCAAAAGACAACATCTACTTTTCAGAATCTCAGGAGAAAGAAGCTCAGAAATTACTTGAGAGACCAATGGCTGACAGTTTCCATGTTTGGCAGTCTATGTAAATGCACAGGTTCAAGAAGCATAGTTCATTCCAGACAGAATGAACTCAAGGGAATACACATCAAGACTCAGCACAGTCAAATTTATGAAAGTTAAAAACAAAGGAAAACATCTTGGATGAAGAAAAAAAAGACACTGTACTTATAAGGGAAAAATATGTAACAGCAGATTTCTCCTTAGAAACTATGGGAGCCAAAATGAACTATCAACCTAGAATCCTATATTCAGTGAAATATTCTTCAGGAATAAAGGAGAAAAAGACTTTTCAGATGAAGAAAAGCAAAAAGAATTTGTCTCCATTAGACCTACCCTAAAGTAATAGCTGAAGGAAATTCTCTAAATGAAATATTAACAGAAGGAATCTTGAAACATTAAGTAAAAAATAGTGGAAAGAATTTAAATATGGAAAAATATGGGTAGGTACAATAAGTTTTATATCTCTTGATTTTTATATATTATGCTTGATGGTTCAAGCAAAAATTATAGCATTGTCTATGTACTCATCCATGTGTGGATGGGAAATAGCTTTTAAATTATATACAGCGATACCTCAGTTCATGTACTCACTTCTTTCCAGGATTCTGGTTGTAAACCAAACTGGACAAGGGCTGAATCCAAATTCCCCACAAGGTCAACATTGAACCTAACCATTTAATTAGATTCAGTTTTTCTCCAGCTCAGTTTGTACCCAGAATCATGGAAAGAATCAAGTTTGTGAACTGAGGTACCCCTCTACTGTAGTAAACAGGAGGGAGAAGGCACATACAGCATGGTAATGTTTCTATACTGGTAAAATATCAGTAGACTGTGATAAATTAATGGGGTAGCAGAGGGAGAACTTTGTCATGGGGAAAAAATTGTTTTCTAGCTGTTTAGTGGTATGTACCCAAATCTCCATAGGTGATAAAATGATGTAGAATGACTCATACACATTGTACCAAGATCAATTTCCTGGTTTTCATATTGTATATATGATCATTGTGAAAAACTAGATAAAGAAAAATTAGGATCTCTGTGCATTATTTTTTCAACTTTCTACAACTTATTTATAAATTTATAATATTGTTAGACTAACTGATTTAAAAATTGACTCAATCTTATTTATCCCATATCAAGACAAAATTGAGCCATTTTCTCCCATGAAATTAAATAAGAAGGAAGTTAATAGATGAAATGAAATGATGAAATGCTAGTCATTGCTAAAACTGTGTGTGTAACTTTCCGCCTGTTACAGATCCAGCAGGCAGTGAACCAGTAAGGCCATAGCTGAACTGATCCCTACCACCAATCAACCGCATCCAGTTGACATTTATAGGATACTTTATCCAGTAATATCAGAGTGCACATTCTTCTCTTGATCATGTGTAATATCCACCAAGGTATTCTTGGCCATACATAACTAAAATTTAAGACAATAGAAATCATATAAAGTATGCTCTGAGACCATAATATAACCAAACTAGAAATCAATTAACAGAATGATTGCTGGAAAATAACAGTTTAATAGGAGGTTAAAAAACACACTTAAGCCAGATGTGGTGGCGCATGCCTGTAATCCGACCATTTGGGAGGCTGAGGCAGGAGGATTGTTGTGAGTTTGAGACCAGCCTGGGCTACAAATTGAGCTCAAGGCCAGCCTGAACTGCATAGCGAGACCCTGTTTCAAAAAGACAAACACACACACACACCTAACACATATTTAAAAAGGAAGCCTTGAGAGAAATTAAAAAATATATTGACCTAATGAAAATAGCACTTATCAAACTTGTGGGTGCAAGGAAAGCAGTGTTTAGAGAAAAATTAATAGCATTGGATGCATATGTTAGGGAAGAAGGAATACCTGATGTTAATGTTCAAAGCTTCCACATTAGGAAGCTACAAAAAAGAATAAATTAAATCCTAAGTAAGTAGGAGAAAAGAAATAAAAATTACAGAGACATCATTGAAATTAAAAACAGGAAAATGATAGAGAAAATCAACAAGATCAAGAGTTGGCTGTTTTAAAAGATCAATAAAATTGACAAGCATGTAGCTAAGCTAAGGAAGAAAAAAGGTAGAGAAGACACAAATTACTAACATCATAAATGAAAGAACCAGCATTACTGATCCCATTGATACTAAAGGTTAATAAAGAATAGTATGAACAACTCTATAATACATTTGTTAAGTGAAATGGACTAATGCCTTGAGACACCACCCACCAGAACTCACACCAGAGTAATATCAATAGATAATATGAGTGTTCCTGTATTGATTGCAGAGTTAAATGAATGATTAGTAATATTCCGAAAAAGAAAGTCCTATACCCAGATAGTTCCAGTGATGTTGTCTACCAGCTCACTAGAAACTTACCAAACATTCACAGAACACATGATACTGATTCTTCTAGAAAATAAAAGCTGAAGGAACTCATTCTGAGGGCAGCATTTCTCTAATATCCAAACTGGATACAGTGGAACCTCAGTTCACAAACTTCATTTGTTAGAATTTAGGAAAAGGTGGCCACATTTATGTTTGTGTGGGAAAGATGATCATGGTTATATTTGTCACCCAATACAGAGTTTGCAAACAAAAACAAAATTTTGCCAAATGTTGTTTGTGAACCAAAATATTTGCAAACAAGAGTGTTTGTGAACCACGGCACCACTGTATATTAGAAGAACAGAAAATTATGTACCAATATCTCTCCTGAGCAAAGATGCAGAAACCCTTACCAAGATAGTAGCAAATAGAATGCAATAATGTGTAAAAAGAATCATGCACTATAACCCATGGACATTTACTGTAGAAGAGAAAGACTGACTCCACATTTTAAAATCAGCATATCATGTCACATCAAGAAGAAAAATTTTATGAAAATATGAAACCAATACCCATTTACAACAAAAAGCATTTGACAAAACCTAATGCTCATTTATGGTCTTTAAAAAATTGAGAAATCTAAGAACAAAAATAAATTTTTTTAGCTTGATGAAGGACATCTACATAAATGCTTGGCTAGCATCACCCTTGAGAAACTAAATGTTTTCCCATTTGGAAACATTCAGAATACAATTGTTCCAGGTCGGGAACACTGCAAAGATGTTCTTTTTAAGCATTCCTATTCAACAGTGTTCTAAACTAAAGAAAAGGAAAAAAAAGTATACAGATTGGGAAGGAAGAAATAAAATTGTTTGCAGATGATATGACATAATTTGTCTATGTAGGAAATTTTAAAGAATTAACAAAAAAAATGTGCACAGTGGCACATGTGTACAGTCCCAGCACTGTAGGAGGCTGGGGCAGAGGACTACACACTCCAACCTGGGCAACTGAGCAACCTAATGACATCCTGTCTCAAAATAAAAAATTTGAAAAGGGCTGGGGATGTAACTTAGTGTGAAGGCCCTGAGTTGAACCTCCTATACCATCACCACCCAAAAACAAAACCACCAAAACTGGAACTAATAGCAATAAATTTGTAGGATACAGGATCAATATAGAAAAGTCAGTTGCCTTCCTGTATATCACCAATGAACAGTTAGCAAAGACAGATACTTAGGTATAAATCTAAGAGAATACATACAAAAGATATATTGGGAAAATGATAAAACTAACTATAAAATAAGGAAAGAAGGTTTAAGTAAGGGAGAAATAGTCTCTGTTCATTGATTGGAAGACTTGAGTGTTGAGATGTCAGTTCTTTCTGATTTATTGGTAGATTCACCTCAAGGCCAACTAAAATCCCAGTAAACTATTTTGTGAATATTGCTGTATTTACTGACTCCAAAGTCTCTATAGAAAAATAAGACACAGAAAAGCAGGTATGACAAACATGGCAGCAGAGCAAAGCTGGAGGACTGATGCTGTCCAACTTTAAGATTTAATACAAAACTACAACAATCAAGACAATGTATTATTGGATATGTGGTGTTTTTTATATTCCTCTGTTTAGTTTTGTGTACATTTGAAGATTTTCATAACTAATATCGTTCTTAATTTTAAAAAGGTTTTTATAATGAAAAGTTTTCTTAAGGATTTTCTTCTATTGTGCAGTCCTTCTTGGTTTCTCCCT